CCAAGTTGAGGGGCCGCGAAACCTTTCCAGACTAGCTTTTAGGACTTAAAGGCACTCTATCCAATTAAAGTCAATTTGTTGGACTTTGTTGCTGTGTCTCAATTTAATGTCTTGTCGTCACTAAAAGTCAATATTTTCAAAGCTAATATGCAAAATTAAACATTATAAGACCATGAATGGGCGGAAATTCATATTAAGTAGGATTTTAAACCATTCAATTTCGTTCTTCAATCAATATAACAAATGCATTCACCGAAAAATTCATTGAAATTGAAATGCATTACAAATGATCTTTGAAAATGAACGTATTATAATGAAGATGTGATCATTTGCAGCAATAGATGTCCAACAAGACCAGATTAACAAACATAAATAAATATTTTGATTTACTTTAAACGTGAAATTAATGTTAAATAACTACGGCTATTCAGAATTGAAGATTTATTTGGGTTTGATTTTGGTTAATGTTGAAATCTGGGTTTAAATGAAATGTCTTGCAAATGCACAATAATTCAAACCGGCAAATCGGATTGTCCGTCTAGTTGAAGCTAAGAACAGTCAACTTACCCTTGAACATTGATCTTATCAGTCCATGCCTTTTCAACTTCTGTCCCATTGAAAGATCGACTTTTCTGGTCCTTAGTAAATGAAGCCGAAGTTGGATAATATCCATCACGACATCGACATTCATAACCTCCTTTACTCCATCCATGGCCAGATTGAAAGGTACACTGAATAAAGAAACCAGAAAACACGAGACAAAAATTAAAAATTGTATCAAAACAAAATTGAAACTCAACCCAAACTAAAATCCCAGAAACCCAAAATTGATCTTTAAGCCAATCTATTCATCAACTTCAATCATCTTGATTTACCCTAAAAACCAAAAAGTTGAATCAATCAATTACCGAGTCAAGAGACTAACCTTAATACACAAAAAGACAACAAAAAAGGTCACTTTTTCGTGATTGATCCATTGTAATAACCAGAACTAAATTCAAAATTTTCCAATAAAATTGAAGCTTTTTACTTCTATCGATTTTTATCAAAATTTTCAATACATAGTTACCAATCCTTGGAGTGAAACAAATGCCAAAAATCTCAAACCCAAACGATAATTTAAGTCTCAATAAAAACTTAATCGTGCAACAATCATTACATCAAGTTGCGAACAGCAATTATTCTAATAATAATACTTAAACAGTTTAATAGAGCAGTAATTTTGATGTGAAAACAGCCATCAAATGAAATGATACATTTATCATTACAAATGATATGAACATTTTACCCAAAATTTTTTCAACCCCAATTTCAAGTCTGACAAGAAACAAAACATCAAATGTAAATGTAAAACATTTGAAATGTTTCATTTCCAAGTAAAACATATTATTTGATTGCAATCTTCTTAGTTGATTCACCTTTACAATATAATCAACATAAACACTATTATCATTAACATTTCATTTGATAACTTTCCCTTGCAACCTTTTGCTGAAAACATTTACAATTCAAACATTCATTATTATACGATTATTATGAAATAATGAATGTTTCGTCGCTTCTTTTTTTCTCACTACCAACCTTCGTTGAAATAAGAAGCAAATTATTCACTGAATTGCCATCATTATTGTCATCATTATCATGCTCATGCTCGTTCAACCTAAAGCCGAGTACTTCGTTCAGAGGATTACAATGAAGAAACATGAAGATTAACTGTAATCTCATCACATCTTTCATCCTCTCGACTCTAATAACATTACCATTTGCTATTACAATATTGATTTATTGATTGTAAAGTGCAAATTTTTGATTAAACCTTTTCTCATTTGAGCCAAAAAATGAAACAATTAACATATTTAGTAATTAAATTGTGGAAACGAGCAAAAGAGAATCTAAAAAAAGGTTCAAATTTCTCAGGTAAATGAAAAAAAAGACATTAATATTAATACGTGAAAACTAAGCTATTTATGCATTTATATAATTCAATGTTTCTTCTTGTTTCTTCCCTTCCATATTAACTTATTTTAATTCACTGGGAGTTTCGTTTTGTTTTTGCTTTGCTTCTGTTTACATCAATTTTGCTTTGCTGGTTTCATTCAAATTGTAACAATTGTAATTTAAATAGCAAATATAAATGCATTGAAATGTCTTTCATCAACATTTCGTGTTTGTTTTCATGTTTATCATTGACCTTAATTCACAATGAATTGAAAAATTGAAGCTCAACCATTCAAATAGATTGATGACCATTGAGTCTATTAGATTAGTACAGTCAATGGTCAATCAATTGTCAAAATGTTTCAGTGTTTATTATGAAGAACATCGAGAATATCATCTTATAATTAGACGAAAATTTTCTGTTGGAAAATCCTTCAAATTTTTGATTTGGAAAATTTTTATCCATAAACTCCTCTGGGAGTGATCCTCGGAATTGACTGGGATTTTTGAATTATTAAAAGAGATTTGTAGTTGGGAATTTTGTGAATATTCAAGTTTTCAGAATTTTGTTCAAGTGACTTTTTCGTGGTTTTGGAAGATGAAAAAACTCGATAAAGATTGGGTTTGTAAAGAATTCAAAAACTCGAATATTAGGTTTGAGAAAACAAAGAAAGAAAATTATTATTCTCTCAAAACAAATTCAGGGAAGAAGGTGATTCTTTTATGAATAATTCAAACAGAATTCGATGACATTTTTAGAAATTTCAGAAAACTCTTCATTCCATAGTTTGCATGTAATTTATCATTTTCTTGGTGGAAAAATTCGTTCATTTCTAATGCGATCAGAGTTGATAATTTACAGTCGCTTCTAATGTAGTAAAGACTATTTGCCAAGCATTTAACATCAAACGCTTTGTTTTGAAGGTAATGTTTTCGAGAAAATATTTGACCTTTTCAACGAAATTTTGAATTAGAATTGAAATGTTTAGAATTTCATTTTGAAAAATGATTTCCAAACAGAAAATTTCTATTTCTAAAATCAACAAAATGCATCATTTGTAAAGATTTGAAAACATTTCAAGAACTATTCGAAAAGCTATTCCATGATGATTTGAAAAATGAAAATGACCTAAATTTTGGAGGCGAAAAATTGAACTCAATATGAAAAGTTTCAATGTTTAGCATCACTTTTCGTTAGAATCAATAGAATTAGGAAATGTAACAAATTTTAATGTTGAAAATGTTCACTTTTCAACAATTTTGAAGCTTTTATTTTTCTCGATATTTTACTTTGCAAAGACTATCATGGAAAAGGAAAGGACTGAAGATGAAAAATGAAGAAGGAAAAGAAGAGGAAAAAGAAATCGATTTCTTTCCCTGATTCATTGGTAATACAAAGATGTTGATACAATTTTTGCTCCTTTTCTTGAGTTGCCTTTTTTTATCAATCATGAAGAAAATTTTTCTTCCTGTTGATTACATATTTGATTCTGCTTTTAAATCATCATCACAACCATCATAATTTCATTTTGTATTATATTTTCTTCTCTATCCTGTCAATGGTTATTAGAGTTTTAAAATGAAATCAAAATGAGATTTGAAATGAGTTTTGACATGGAAACTGGAATATACAATATCTTGAATATCATGAGAAACCTTTAGAGACAAAAGATGTTTTCAGAGTCGAACTGGACTGTTGACTTAATAGTCAGTTGACATTTGATTAGTTAAATGATTCAATGGTTATTAAAAAGGTTTGCACTTCTTTTCATGTAATGCTTATGAATAATCAAGTAAAAATCAGTTTACACTGTTCATCTTGAATTAGTGGGAATGAAGGATGAAAAAAGTAAGCTGACAAGGAAATGGATCGTTGCTTTTGCTCAACAACCAAAATCATTAAGATGAAGCTTCAAGTGGCATTTAGATGAGGATGAAGATGAGGATAATAATAAGGTAGGGAAAGGTCAAAGAGAGGAAGAGTATTAGATGAAGATGAAGAGAAAGGATAAGAAATAAAATGGATAAAGAAATAAGCTAATTTAAGGTTTACTCATGAGATTCATCAACAAGGTAATTGGGATTGCATTAACTATTAACCATATTTGCAAAAATAAAGCATTTTTCACTCTTTCAAACCCATTGACAACTAACCATTGATTTAATCAAATGTATAAATCACTTTTCAACGATCATTTAATGATAAGACTTGGAAAATTATTTCAATATTTGGGTTAATTTGGGTTTGGGTTTACTTTGGTTTAATCATAGTTAAGTATTTTTAAATAAGATTCACTACTGAAGTTGAATACTTGCAATGGTTGTATGCTTAACTGATCTGAAAAGGTCATTGGAACGAATGTAAATGTAAATTTTCATTTTAAACTGACTCTTATTTGTATTCGTATTCAAATTGAAATGTTAGGTTTCGATTGGAGTGTAAAGCATTTCTGGTGCATTTGGGTATAAAAGGTTAGCTTTAAAAGTCATATTTGAATAAAATCGCGAACAGCTTAAAGAGATCAATTCAAATCTAATATAAAGATAGTTATTTGTGTCTGAAACTGATTTGGAGAAAATTTGGAGAAACAAAATTAAATCCAATCATAACCAATAATAAGATATTTGCATGTTATAACTTCACTTTTAGCATAAAATGCGATTCAATTTACAATCAATATTTACCTTTACCTAAATTATTATTTGAAATATTCTGAAAAATAACAACAGACAAACAAAGCTAACAGTAGAATGAAAATAAATATTAAAAGAAGTTGACTTTTCTCGATAGATTCAGAACAACATTCATAATAACTTCAACTGTATCGTTCAATTGACATGAAAACCTTTTTATTAGTGGAAATGACTCAAAGCAATCTTGATTATCTTGATGACTGAATCATTTGACATGAGATGAAGGTTTGATGAAAAATCAATTTACAACTCGGAATGCTCGGATTGACCAGAAAAAGCATTTTTAGGTTTTTGTAAATTTCAAGGGTTTCATAGCCATTGACTCGCACTAAAACAAAAACCTGAAAATAACCAAATTAAACCGATGATACGTTTGGTAAACAAAATCTGGTGAAACTGGGTTAACCATGAAAAATTTTAAAATGTAAAGATTATTATAATTGGGTTGACTGGTAAACAATGGATGCCAGTTTTGTCTTGAGTCTGATGTCAATTATTGATTTACATGATAAAGAATGTTAAACAATGAATGTTGGGTTATTTGAGTAGGAGTTATGAGAAAGTGATTATGGTGATCAAGATGATGATGAAGATGATGTTAAAAATGAAAGCAATCGGATTAACTATTGAGATAAGTAAGTGTGTTTACATGAATGAATCTTCAAGTTTCAGTCTAGTGTAAAGATGTTTCCTAGAAATAAAAAGACTTTGATTTGTTCAGTCAACTGTAATCAAGAAGTTGACTGTTAAGCTTGAATAACGATTAAACCACATCCACAGTTTTCATCCTCTTGCCTTGCAACCATCTTTCCTCATCCTTTGCCTTCTCCTCCTTCCTCATCAAAATCATCACTGAGAGACACAATTTTCATTTCCATTAACAATTCAATGTTGAAACGGATAAAATATTCAACATGAACAGATGCACCTTTAACATTTTCATGATAAACTTGCAACGTTTTATATAATTAATATGAGACAAAAAGACAATCACAATTGGCCGATCAATGATGACAAAAGCCTTTCAATTCCTTAATGAGAATCAAGGAAAAGTTAATCAATATTTCCTCAACCTTTGTGTTCCAAACGAAAATCTGTA